GAATAAATATGGTAATAGGATGCACACTTTCCCTAAATTTAAGCCATGCAGCATCCCCTTGTTCTGTTTGAACAACTGTCTCTTGATCTATATATAGGTTATGTAGAATAATAATAAATCTCTAAAAAGCTCATGACCATGGAGTCAATTCTGGCTCTTAGTTAATGTACAGGATAGAGTAGAACTGACCCGGTGGGTTTCCAAGACTGCAAATCTTTACAGGAGTAGAAAGCTTCATCGTTCTCCCTCACCATGTTTGGTGGGGTGGGTTTGACCTGCTGCCTAGTAGTTCAACACAAAATCAACTCTTGTCAACAGGGTTCCTTAAGTACTATGAAGTAGTCTGGAATTCCCATTCTTTACAATGTTATCCATAATTTGTTATGATACTTTATTGACTGGCAGTCAAATGCCAGTCAAGAAAACACAGGTAAATATCTCTCTGGTATTCTGTTTCCTGCTAAGACCTATTAGCAATGACATACTTCATTCTACATCCCCTTGTGAATCCAGTTTGAATTTCTGGCAATTTTTATCAATGAACTACTGCAACTGTTTGTGAATTATCTTCAGGAACACTTACATATATTAATTATATTGTTAAATAATCTCTACATTGTTTGACTACTTTTCTTTAGAATGGACACAAATATGGATTTCTTCTGAATAGCCAGATAACTGTTTCTCAAACTTTTGGCATATATGAGTCAGTACTTCCCATAAAACATTTTTCTGTTGAACATGTCAGTTGGTAATATATCAATTCCTAGAGCCTTGTTTTTGGACAATACCTTCAGTGAAGCTTTGACTTCTTCCTTCACTAACTATCACCAATCCTTGATCATATGCTACCCTCTAAAGTGGTTGAACGCTGACCAAATTCTTTTTGATATAGTGAATTTGTGTAATCCTTTCATCACCTTTTGATGCATCCTGCATCATTCAGTATCTTGCTCACTGAATCCTTCAATACTTCAACTTCAGGCTTGAATTTTTTTTCCCATTGCTTTCAGCTTGAGAAATGCTGAGTGTATTATTCCCTTTTAGTATTCTAATTCCAGGTGTTTATATATTTTATTACATATTTTACCCTGCCTTCTCGAGCTACCCTTTGGAAATCTCATGTTCGGCACTTTCACATCATTATTGGCTTTAGCTACTATACATTAAAGAGCAAATTTCAGAGTCCACTCTGCTGTTGGTCTTTTCTATCTTTCCTGTTGGGGTCATCTCCTAGGACTACTATCAATCAAATTCTGCTGCGATTCATAAGGTCTTCACTGGCCAGCTTTTGTTTCTGTTTTGTTTTTATTGAAGTCAATCACCAGGTTCTTCTTCTACTCTTAGTCTAGAACAGTGGTTCTCAACCTTCCTAATTCCATGACCCTTTAATGTTCCTCGTGTGGTGGTGACCCCCAACCATAAAATTATTTTCATTGCTACTTCCTAACTGTACTTTTGCTACCATTATGAATCATAATGTAAATATCTGATATGCAGGGTGTATTTTCATTGTTACAAATTGAACATAATTAAAGCAGTGATTAATCACAAAAGCAATATCTAATTATATATTGTGAAATATTTTTTCTAATGACAAAGAAATGAGATTTTGTCTTGAAGCATGGGGTAGCATGGGCAACAGTCTTAATGTAACCACAGTAAACTACATTGATACATTTTGTGACAGTATGCATAAAAAGTTAACTTCAGTGCAAAGGTTGAGACAGCTTCTTTCTCACTTGATCAGCATATCTGCATGTGGGCAGACCCGCCTGGAGAGGGACAGCGAAGCAGTGCCTGGGTTCCTAAGACCATCTGAAATATGTGTTTTCCGATGGTCCCAGGCGACCCCTGTGAAAGGGGTCACAACCCACAGGTTGAGAACTGCTGCTAGAGTTTCCCAAGGATAATTACTGGAAGAAATATAGACTATAGCTACTAAGGATGTAGTTTGCAAAATCTCTGACCACAACCTACAGAAATATACTTAAATAAATACATCACATACACACACATATACTTTCAGATATGTAAAAACCAAGTTTCAAACAGCTACTGTCTGGTATTTTCCTTTTCTTTTTTTTTTCTATTAAATGGTTTAAATTCTGGCTACAGGCCACCAAAACGATTTTGTGAACCATTAAAATATCTTAACCTGGGAATAGCACCATTTCTGTTGCTGGCTTGTTGGTAATTGTTCATGTTCTCTCCCCTTTGAGAGCACTCAGTGAAACGGGACTTGGGGAAAGGCTTGCTTAAAGAAGAAGCGTCACGTGTGAGTGAAGAGTGGACTGGTTCACGGCCTGAGCAGAAAAGGTTCCACTGCTGCTGGGGCATAGGAGAGAAGGTGCGGCTTGGAGGGCAACGTTTGTCATCTGCCTTGAAATTAAGGTTGGGGATCAACAGCTATTTTCTCAGATCAATGCTCTACCCCACTTCCTTGTGAGCCAGTCTAGGGAGGCTTAATTTCCATGTTCATAGTTATGAACGTCACCGTTCAAACCATTTTGAAATAAAAACTAATAAGATTGTTAAAATCCAAAAGAAATCATGGCTTGGACTTTTATTCTCCTGGCTGTGACTTTTGATGCAAAAACATTTTAATGTGCAGGTAAGACAACTACTACATAATCATAAGGCAACTGTACATTTTCATTGAAGTATTTAAAAACTATTTAAGAAGTAGCTTTCCCAGGACGGCCAAATGCCTGTTGGCAACTTAAAGAAAGTGGCTTTTGACGTTGACTAAGATAGCCAAACTCGTGTGTGAATGCAATGGTGTGGAATAATGTCATTTTGTTCAGAACCTTAAAAGAGCAAATAAAGAAACACGTTGAAATTGTTATTAAAAATACCACAGCCTATAACTGGAAAAACAACACTTTGAAAGACAAGGAAGCATGGCTTTAGTCTTTTAGATGTAAAATGAAATAAACACTATGCTAATTGTGTCTCATTAACATATGTAATCTGCCCCCAAATGAGATTACAACCACAGGCATAGAAGTTAGGATTTAACACACATTTTTGTGGGGCACAAATAAATCCATATCATTATGTTTTTAACAAATGGTAAAACCACAATAAAAACTCAGGGATTTCAATTCTGAAACTATAACATTATCATTAAATGAAATTTTAAAAAAATACAAGAGAGCTTTAAAAAGTTCACAGGAAAAAAATCATTTTTATTCCATTTTTCCATGAACATACAATGGTCTAATCCCTTCATTCTTGAATCGGTGACCAATTTAACAGTAGCTAACAATGTGTGTATACATGTATGTGTGAGCAAAGTACACTGATTCTGCCATAAGTGAGTTCATCTTAGGATAAATTAAGAAAAGCTTATATATGACGGGGCTTCAAAAAATCCATGAAAATTAGAAGTGAAAAATAATGAAAATTTTCTATGTACGCTCTTCAGACTCCTAATCTGTGTGTGAGCTTGTGTACGCACACACACGCACACACACACACACAAAGGGCTTCAAAAAGGATGTGTACGTGTATGTGCACACATACACAGAAGAGTGAGTTTTTTAAAGTTCATGGAAAAACATTTATGTACATACACGTTTTATTATTTATGTGTAAACAATGATTTATGTAGAAGACTGATTTATAGATGTCAAACTAAGCTTTTCCCCCAAAATTCTCTTTTTTAATCATTTTATTGGGGGCTCATACAACTCTTATAAGCCATACATACATCAACTGTATAAAGCACATTTGTACATTCGTTACCCTCATCATTCTCAAAATATATTCTTTCCACGTAAGTCTCTGGCATCAGCTCCTCATTTTTCCACCTTCCTCCCTGCTCTCCCCTCCCTCATGAACCCTTGATAATTTATAATTTATTATTTTGTCATATCTTACACTGCGCAATGTCTCCTTTCACCCACTTTTCTGTTGTCCGTCTTGCAGGAAGGAGGTTATATGTAAATCCTTGCAATCGGTTCCCCCTCTCTATCCCACCCTCCCAGTATCACCACTCTCACCACTGGTCCTGAAGGGATCATCCGTCCTGGATTCCCTGTGTTTCCAGTTCCTATCTGTACCAGTGCACATCCT